CCTAACAAATCCCGCAACAACAACATCACCAACCTCCACCACCGTAACCTCCATTTCTTTCGTGAAATTTGTAAAGAAGAAGGGAGAAAAGAGAATGTCTCGGGGGTTATGGGTTGGTTATGAAGGACATGCATTGGTTGTGAATGTATTATGTGTTGGTTGTTAAGGTTACATGTTGGTTGTGAAGATTACAGGTTGGTTTGTTAAGATTACGAGTTGGTTGTGAAGGTTACGAGTTGGTTGTTAAGGTTACAGATTGGTTGTTAAGATTACGGGTTGATTATTTAAGTATGTATCAAAGCCCCTTGTTATATGAGACAATTTAGCTGGCTGTTATATTTAAGTATGTATCAAAGCCCCTTGTTATATGAGACAATTTAGCTGGCTGTTATATGTTATTCATGTTTTTTAAAGATAAAGTGAGACACGAGTATGCCTGTGATTGTGAATTGTTTGTGTTTATGTTGACGTTATGGGCTTTGAAGTTTAAACTTTGGTTCTTGACTGACAAAAAGGAGCTTACCACTTCATGCTTCAACATCCACTACAATTAAAAGGCTGTTAGTTTTAAGAAACGCAAGCTAAAAAAATTTTCTACTGAATCAAAGTTCTTCAACAAATATCATCAAACTGACAAATTTTTTACTAAATGGAAAAGGATCGAGGCATTTACTTCAAGAGTAAAAGACGGACAGAAAGACATTGCAACTTATCATTGGAGGAAACTTATGAGTCGTGTAATTAAACTCCACAGACGAAACATGGGCATTAGCTAAGAAAACAAATGGCAGTGTCCAAAATTCAACTTGATTATATGATAGGGATGTTTACCATGGAATCCATTCACTTGTGAAGGTTACGGGTTGGTTGCGAATGTTACGGATTGGTTGTTAAGGTTACAAGTTGGTTGTAAATTTAACATTGACAACACGTAACTTTCACAACCAACCCGTAACCTTCACAACCAACACGTAATCTCCACAACCAACCCGTAAAACATTCACAACCAACCTTGGTACTCCTCCCCAGTTTCATGGCAGACTAATTTTAAAATATGAAGATTTGGGGGACTAGTTTCAAAATATGAGATTTTGAGAGACTTGACGTCGGTCAAATGGAGTTTGGGAGCTGTGAAGAAAGAAGGGTAATCAAGAATCATATCACCCTCAACCACAATAACAAAGTGCTTATTGTAATGGACCATGAATACCAAATATTTGCACTACTACTTCTCCATGATTAAACACACCGCTCTTTAATTTCAAAAGCCAAAAGAAATAAAACACGACTAGAAAAGAAACGACATTGATACACGCATAGCGACAAAGCTAGCTAACTAGCTCCAAACACAGACCATGACAACCAGCGAGTCATGTGAATACTTCTAAGGTGTTACGGGTTGATTGTGGAGGTTACGAGTTGGTTGTGAAGGTTACGGGTTGATTGTTAAGATTACGGGTTTATTGTTAAGGTTACGCGTTTGTTGTGAAGGTTACGGATTGGTTGTGAATGTTACGCGTTGGTTATGAAAGTAACGGGTTGGTTGCTAAAATTACAAATTGGTTGTTAAGGATAAACGTTAGTTGTGAAGGTTACGCGTTGATTGTGAAGTTAACATTCACAACCAACTCGTAACCTTAACAACCAACCCGTAACCTAAATAACCGACCCGTAACCTTTACAATCAACCCCTAACCTTCACAACCAACCCCTAACCTTCACAACAAACGCGTAACCTTAACAATAAATCCGTAACTTTTACAATAAACACGTAACCTTAACAATCAACCCGTAACTTTCACAATCAACGCATAACCTTCAAAACCAACCTGTAACCTCCACAACCAACCCGTAACCTTCACAACCAACCCGTAACACCTTCACAACCAATGTATATCCTTCACAACCAACTTTAAAACCGCGAAGCTCAATTCTGAGCAGAAAATGCCGAAATTTGACCATAAATTATAGGTTAACCTTTTTGCAGTCCAAACATTAAATTGTTAAAATAAACTTCATGCCATCAAAATTTTAAAAAGAGTAAAATCTCAGGGTATTAAAATGCTAATTAAGCTAAATTCCCAAAACTTAATCAGAAATAAACAACATTAAGCAACTTTATCATATAGATGATAATTGTACGTAAAAGACTTGACCGATCACAAGATTTAATCGAAAATCTCATTTAATTTCTCAATAGTTAACTGCAGTACCAATCGCACCTCATACACTCGATTGACCGCCTGCGGACTCCATCCTCGGCGAAGTCAACGGAAACAGAGGCAGAAGCTTGGGCGGTTCGGCGAGCCTCGACAACGGGTGCAAATAATACCCTTTCTCACCGGCGAGACCGAAATCCTAAAATTCGAACACACCGACGATCTATTGAAAGGATCAGGGTTTAAAGGAGTGACATTTATACGAGTTGCCGTGCAAGCACATTTGATCAAGGAATTATCAAAGGTGGGTTGAAAAGAGGATGACAGAAACACAAGCACAATTCAGTTTATGGCGAAGGAAATTATTTTTTCTAGATTATGAAGAACAAAAGATTACAATATCTCCCTCACAATCTCACTAGAATCGAGAACAACCTCTCAATCCTCTCTAAACCCTAATACAATAATTAGAATTTCTCTCTGATCTAAGATCTCTAAGATCCTCCCAATCTAAACCCTAGTCCTTTTGATTAGGATCTCACTTAGACCTAAAACCCTTTAGATCTACATCTGGCCTCTAACCTGCTCTTTAGAAATCCTAAACAATCCCTATTTATAGGGTTTACAACGTGGTGACAATCTGATAAATAATCAAAACCAAACCCAGCTAGGATTCCTTCCAAACAGAAACCAAGTCTGTCCAGGAAACCTCGATGAGTCGACTCATGACTGAGATGGGTCGACTCATGATCACCAGTCGACTTATGGTCGACTCAAAATATGCACAAACTGTGCTGGTCTGCATGAGTCGACTCATGATTTTCATGAGTCGACTCAGCAGAAGTATTTTTCTATCTGGAGGCGTTTTCTTGAATCGACTCATCAACCCGTTAGTCGACTCATCAACCGTCAGTCGACTCATTAGGCTGAGAACTGAAATCTTTGATTCTTCGTTCTTCCGACTCGCTTCACGCTCTATCCTGTGCTCCGCCGTGTCGCTTCACACCACTATTCTCAAGATATTATGAGAATCACCTATCCTCAAGCTCCCGCTTCACACCACTATTCTCAAGATATTATGAGAATCACCTATCCTCAAGCTCCCATGAGGATCGCTTTTCCGAAGAGAAGATACACCCGTATCAATTATGAGAATCACCTATCCTCAAGCTCCCATGAGGATCGCTTTTCCGAAGAGAAGATACACCCGTATCAGACATGACTCAGCATAAGCGTTAGGGTTTGATTTGGGAGTTAGATGAGGGAGGGATGCTGATGGCTGAGCTCCATTGTTAGAGCTCGTGCTGCTTGTCGAGCTACTGTTGGGCGAGGTTGAAGGAGACGGGGGCTTTTGAGAGAGAAACTGAGAGAGGGAGGGAGAGAGAAATGGTATTATGGTCTTGACATGTTTAAAACTCTTAGGTTCTGTGTTTTTGGACTCAGAGAATTATGTGTTTATTTTTGGGGGTTTTAGGAGCGTTGAAAAAGTATTAGGAGGGGTGGAACACTTCTAAGGAAATTGGGGGCTGGAAGCAATTTCCCCTAATTAAAAAAAGTACTGAAATTGATAGTTCCATCCCTCCCTCCGAATTGGGAAGAAATCTCCTCTAGTTACATCAGTGGGAGGACGCCCTAACTTTGTGACACCCTGTTGAATGCGTTTACAACCCTACTCAAGATTCTCCAACTAAAAATCCCAAAATTTTAGGGAGAGTAACACTGTTTCACTTGTTATCGCGTACCATTGATATTGAATTTCAATAGAACAATACGGTTAATACTTCCAAAATCAGATTTTGACAATTGGAGACTAACGAAGGATCATACTTTAACCTCCCAGGATGTTATTCAAACATAACCGAACCCCTGAACCCCACAGTACATACAAGCGACCCGTTCAAAGGCAGCGACTCCCTCGGAATCAACAAAGACCCATCAAAGAAAAACCCGATAAAACGCCAATCTAACGAATACCCGCGTGAGAATTCAACTCATATCAATCTGAAAACTAAAAAGCGCTGAAAGAAGTAGAGATCAGAATCCTACTCAGTTCAGAGATGAAGAGGAGAAACATGACGACGGAGGAGACGAGGGTGATTACGCCACCGGAGAGAGTTCTGCTGTAGAAATCTTCATTAACCTTTGGATACGCGTCGAAATTCTTAAATTTACCGACGAGACCCTCCATTAGAGAGAGAGAGAGAGAGAGAGCAGCTTCAGTGAAACGAGAAGACTCGAGGAGAATCCAGTGGATCTAGGGTTACTGTTGGATTTGGAGGCCTAATTCATTTCTTATAAAAGGTAATATATTCATCATTATCATCATTATTATTATTTATTATTTATTATTTATTATTATTTTGGGCTTCAAATGATGCCGAACATTGTTTACAGGCACTTGACGAAAAAGAATAAAAAATTGCTTTTCTAGTTTGGGTTTCACTGGAAGGCGCGCAGAAAAACCGCTGGTCTTTTAGATCAAGTTTAAGGTAATGGGCTTTCTGGGCACTTTATTTATTTGTTGAGGGTTTATAAGATATTATTAGTCCCTTGAATCTTTAATATTGTGAAAGTAGCCCCAGTTTAGGATCCTGATACTGATTGTTAAAGGTATGGGCTTTTGGGCCAGTTTTGTGACTATTCATTTTAAGAGGTTGTCTCATGTCTGTACCAGTCCCTTAAATCTTTAACATTTTGAAATTAGTTCCTTAGATCAATGAAGCTTCTGTTAAATCCCCAAGTCTTCAATTTACTGACGAGACCCTCCATTAGAGAGAGAGAGAGAGAGAGATTCACTGAAACGAGAAGTCTCGAGTAGAATTCAGGGGATGTAGGGTTGCTGTTGGATTTGAATATTTGACATTTTTTTTTTTTTTTGGGGGTGGGTGGGGTGGGCGGGGCTTAATGTGCGGCCCAATCCTACTGAGAATTCACGAAAAGAAATCAAAACTTGTTTCTCTGGTTTGGGCTTTATTAGAGTCGCGTAAAACCGCTAGTCTAGCAGATCAAACTTATGCCTGCAGGTTGAAGGTCATGGGATATATGGGCCAGTTAGGATATTAGCCCTGAAACCTTTAATATTCGGAAATTAGTTCCAGTTTAGGCTTCGCGGGAGGCCCATAGCATTGCAAAAGGTATGGGCTTTGGGCCAGTTTCATCACAATTTATTTTAATAGGTTTTCGATAGTAGTCCCTTGAATCTTTAATATATGAAATTAGTTCCTAAGTCTTATGCCTGCAGGTTAAAGGTCATGGGATATCTCGGGCAGTTAGGATATTATAGCCCTGAAACCTTTAATATTTGGAAATTAGTACCAGTTCAGGCTTCGCGGGAGGCCCATAGCATAGTTGATTGTTAAAGGTATGGGCTTTGGGCCAGTTTCATGATAATTTATTTTAAGAGGTTTTCAATAGTAGTCCCTTGAATCTTTAATTTATGAAATTAGTTCAAGGGTGTGATCAGCAATCTTACAAACCAGGTCAAACTTTGAAAGATTTTTTTGTTTGGCAAACAAGAGGACCAGATCTGGCTCTACTTTCATAGGCCAAAATATGGCCTTAAACCAGTTTTCTTTTTTTTTTCTTTTGCTGGTCCAAAAGAAAACTGGTTTAGCACAAAACTGAGCGAGGACTAATCCTGAGCTAGTTTTGTATAGTTTGCCAAACACCCCCTTAGATCACTGAAACTTCTGTTAGATCCCCCAAGTCTTACATCTTGCTACTGCTGCTACTCTTGATTGGAGGGATTGATCTGAACCACTTATAACAAGTTGAAGAAATAAAGTAAAAAATTCTAAATATTTAAGGGACTGTTATGGAAAAATTGTAAAAGTATTCTCTGCAGCAAAAATACAGGAGGGCAAAAAAAAAAAAAAACAATGCTATTTAACTTATGTGAGCAGATGGCGCTGGTTTACAGTTATCTCCTTGAAACTTTGTTAGGGCATAAAACATACATAAGTGTTGTTGAAATCCTTACCACAAAATGATTCTCATCATGTTTCATTCCTATATTAAATTTTGCAATAAAAATATCATACAAAGTCGCCAGTCATTTTGGTAACCTTTATTCTAATAATTATGCTGAAAGTAAGTTTGGAAATATACGAGGATGAATATATAGCATGAGTGGTCTAAAGAAAAAGGGTAATTAATGACTACGTTGTCATGTTAAGAGGGGGGAAGTTTTGAAAAGTTAGGATCTTGACGAAGCGCTAAAGTAAAAAAGCGTCGTTATTCTTCATAATTAGAGAAAATTAATAATGGTAACGAATATTCTTCTCATTGATTTTGTTTTTCCCCCCCTTCCCTCATTCAAGCTAGGGACCGATGAATTAGATCCAAGCGCACCCTGAAGGTTGCAATAAAAAAAATGCACGAGAGCATGCATGGCTACTTAATTATGAGAAAAGGATGGTAATTAAACATTGAGATTTGATTCGATATTCCGATTAGTAGAGAAAATCAGAATGAGAATCCGAGGTAACCGAACTTTGTTGTTCATTCCCAAAAACTACTTTGTTTATCTTTTAATTAATTAGTTTAATGTTGTGGGTTTAAGTAAGCATCATGTGAGCATATATATATATAATTAATTTGTCGCCCCTCGTCCTTAACGTGTGAAAGTCGGCCAACCATGCAAAACAGCAGCCACGCAAATTCCGAACCCCAAATTAAACGCGGTGTCATCAGCCCCCCTCTCCCCCTCTTCTAGAAAACGACGCGTGCGTCAGCAGCCGACTTGAACTAGCTAGGCTCCGTGTACTTTGTTGTTAGCTTCCCCTTTTGGAGTCAAATTTGGGCCGGTACACGCGTACTTGAAAGCCCCCGCTCGTCTATGCGTTTGTCATATGGCGACGCTTACTTTTGTGAGATTCTAATCTAATGAGCCCAGCTCACCGCGGAGCGACCTCATGCGAGCCAAGGCGTTAATTATCCATGGGGGTAAATTTAAAAAATAAAAATAAAAAAAAATTAATGAGCTAGCATACGTGCTCCTAGCCTCTCCACCAGTACGTACCCTGTTCCTTTGATGGTGATGATCGCGCGTGAGGCTCCCCTCCTTCAAACAAACAAGGACCGCGCACGACAAGCTAGCTGGCTGGCTGGCTAGCTAGCTAGCTAGCTAGGGTTTGTCCCTAGCTAGCTCTCGCTCTCTCTCCCCCTCTCCATTGCCAATTATCTACCTATAGCTACACGAAACTTCTACGCTAGCTAATGCCAAAGCGAGGGTCGAGATTACCAATATTGGAATGACGTGCGCGCGGTCGGCCCGGGGCCAGCTGGGGTCGCTCAAGCTCGTGAGGATGAAGGGGGCTAGATACCTACATGCCAAAAGAAGAAAAGGAGAGGGAAGGAAACCAAGGCATAATATGTAAAGGGCAGAGACGTGGAGGGATCATTTTCGATCGAGACTCATGAGAGAGAGAGAGAGAGAGTGTGTGAAGAATCTCGGTACGTGCGTGATAATAATGCACGATCGATGCGAGTCACTTGTGAGGTTTGAATTCAACGTAGTTAAAAGAGGGGAGGGGGGGAACCTGATCACTCCAAATAATTATGGGCCGGGAACAAAACGTGGAGGGTGGAGAGGGTTCTAGCTAGCATATATATAAGTCTATGATCACATGAGAAAGTGATGGGTACGCCCGCCTAACGCGGGGGTGCGTTTGTTAATTTCAAGAATCTGGTGATGCGTACTTCCAGTCAACTACAGTTTCTTTCCATTTTTATTTCGTTCGCCCTTATGTGCATAATACAGTAGACTGATGAATTTCATTCAAAACCATGCATTATTTTTGCAATAAAACGGAGCTAGAGAGCATAAAAAAAGGAACTTGCAACCAATTAATCATAAAAGTGATCTTACATACTCCCCCCACAAACCATGGATGGAAAACTTTGTACGTAGACATTTTATGTTTGATTCATGTGTTCTATATTTTAAGGGTAAACCCCAGCATTTGCTTTCAGGTAAGAGAATATTTATATAGGAATATATTTTTTTTTTGTCATTTTTAAAGGTAAACCCGAAACCTTCAACAACAGAAAAAAAAAAAGGTAAACCGCAATATTTGTTTTTTGAGGTAAGAGAATATTTATATAGGAACATATATAAATTCTTATGTAATTTTTTATGTACACATTTTTATGCTATTGAAGATTTGGGCACTTTTAATTAACCTTTTTGGTGACTGGTTATTATAACTTTTCAAATTAGATCTTTCTAATTAATGCACATGCATTTGGACGTGATGCAATTCAACTTCAAACCAACTACAAAAAGATCAGCAATAAATTAATTAGGGCCTAGCTAAAAGTGCACTTGTGAATCCCTCATGCAATAATTTCCCAAAGCTAATTAACGTGTGTGTGTGTGTGTACAGATCTAGAACTAAGAACCCTTGATTTTCAAACAAAAACTTGCGGGCTTGACCTTTTTCATTCAACTTTAGCTAGGGTTTTGTGCATTGCCGGTTACCAGTCATTTGGCATATATCAGAGAAAAAGAAATGGCTGGAGAGATGCGCACGCGGTAACATTTGGTTCTAACGTTTGAAACTGTGTTCAAGTTTGGTAGCATGATGACAACATGCATTGTACTACAAGTCATAAAAATAATATATACAACATAGTTTTAATTAATTAATTTCATGACGTTGTGCATATAAAAGGTTCAGAAAAATATTTATAAAAGGCTGATTTAGCATGAACTTGTGGGCTTCACCAATTGTAGTTGCCATTAATGCCTATGATCTTGTGCTTGTTGAACTGTTCATTAATTTTGCTTGTTGCCATGCTAGAGATGCCAAATTAATGCATAAGCAAAATAATTCTCATTCAAAATGAGTATGCTTGGTAGTGATGTGTCTCATTCCCCCCCACTCATTGAAATCGGTGTTATGCGTAACGGAACTCTAATCACACGAACAAGAACGAGGTAGACCACAACTAAACACAAGCACAAATCACAATCACAACAAGACAACGAATTTTACGTGGTTCTGCAAGTTGCCTACGTCCACAGAGCAAGGAGGGGGGGAGTTCTTACTATTAAAGATATGAAGAGAATACAAAATACAGTTACAAAATCACTCAAAACCCTAAAACAAAGCTCTCTAAATCTCTCACAAATCTCTCACAATTGGATGCAACAACCCTCTCTCAAAGACTGCTCAAAACGTCCTTGCTTAACCCTAATTAATTAAGATTAGGAATATATATCAACTCAAAACGAAACGGGACAGAAAATAGATTCTAGC